AAAAAATAACCTATTTGTAAGTTTCGCAAGCTCTACAATTTTGAGTCAATTTGTATCTAGCGTGATGTGCAAAGTCGTAAAATTGTAAAGAATGACGTTAGCAACTAAAATATATAAACATGGCGGACAACGTAGCGAACTTGTCAAGGAATCTTGCCATCACACAGCTCTTTGTTGGCTTTCTGCTATTCTGTTTCGGTATCGGAGAGCAGGTAGTGGAAGTGTTAGTGACACATGATAAATATCTCGGGATTTCGGCCGGTATATAGGTGAGTAGAAGTGGAGGACTACTGTCAAATACATTTTGTAATCAAGGACTTGTATGCGGTGTATAGAAGTTATATGATATAGAGATAAATTCAATCTGACTTTAGCTATTGAGAATCTTAATCTAATGACAGGGTCTTCGTCGAAGCTTATAGCATTGAGGAGGCACAGTTGCATTTAAAATTAGAAATCTCTGTCATTGGCGTCGCCGAACGGCAAACATCTCCACGCGCTGAAAGTGATATGGAAATATGACTTCGCTCGCTTCCGATGCTGAAAGAAATCTCGAATGGCATCCATATTCAATCTTTCGCAGGCCAAGTGACAGCAATAGATGTCTTCTAACGATTCCCAAAGCCGCCATTTTCAGTGCTGAACAGCTGATTTTAGGAATCGAAGCTTCGCGGTGCGTCGAATCTCTACGTACGGTTGAACGGAGAATTATTTCCGTGACATCTTCGAATTCGATCTTAACTTGCGGGAGTTGAAATAAACTTCGGCTCTTTCTTTCTCAGATATCTCGATCTATGAAGTAAATCGATGTTTCGCTGGCCAACAAAATGGTTGTTGACAGATATTTATTTAGAGAGCTGAGAAGTAAAACTTACGAAGAAAAGGGTTGAATAATTCGAAAACAAAGCAATGTTTTGTCCTTGAGAACTTGTGTAAAGCTTGATTAATCGAGTTTCGGCTGCTTTAATTTGTTCTCTTATAAATCGGAAGGAGTCGTAAACAGCTTGCTAATAAGCCATTGCCCGATGGCAAATTGATAATATCGTAGAAGTTGGGTTTGGTTTGCATCAACAACCCCTAAATTGAGGGCCATAAATGTATGTAGCAAAAAATAATTGTATAAGTCCTCTATACCAGGTCACACTTTCAGCAAATTATTGTTCAACTTACAAATCCAAGATTAATGTACTGTATGTATCTATTTTGCAGACAATGTGATAAACACGCGATTTTGCTCTCGCTCAACTTCCTTGAATGTGTTTAAAGTAAAAGGTCTACTAATGAGTTTTCAGCAGGCATTGCCACTGGCAATATCAATGTAGAAACCGACGAGAATTAGAGATTTCTCTTCACCGACACCTAGTGCTTAGGTGTTAGATGTAACTTGTATTTGCTCTAAGTGTCCATTCCTGGGTTCTCAGTAAATGTGATGCCATGTACATGTGAAAAGGAAATTGGGCTTAATGAAAAGAAGGCCAGGTTTAGTTACATGAAATGAATGTTTTGGACAAGTAATATAACCAAATGGTCTGGATAAGAGCAGGCAAGCTCAGCAGTATTCGTAAAAAATGGGCAACAACTTTGAGTTTGCAAGACATGTTTTTACGATAACTGCAGAAATTCTCGCGCGCTCATTGGCTAATTTTTATTGTCAATAAGTGGATAGACACATGAATTTATAATTTATGCGATGCGTCAACGAGCAAGAGCGGACAATTTGTTATCGTAAAAAACAAATTGATGTCAGTTTTAATGCGTCTGTCCTGTTATTGACAATGAATTTCGTCATAACATTGTCAAATTAGTCTGCGGATCCACTCGGCTATGGCCTCGTGGATCCACAGCTACTTTGACAATGTTATGACGAAATTCATGATCAATAACAGGACAGACGCATGAAAAACTGACGTCAATTTGTTAATTCGATCGATCATCGATCATCTTCAGTTGCAAGTGTTCGTTACAGTGCGAAAAATTCGAATTTAGGTCAATATTACAATTTGAACTTACGCGAATACGTTGCCGTTAGCATTTTATATTACCGTTAAACGTTACAATCGTACTAAGTACAAACAAT